ATCTTTGTGGAATAATACCCCTACATTTATAAGAAAGACCAGTTAATACGACTGCTAGTCACATTTACACACCAATCACTAATGCCAAAGATGAGAACTGGAACATTGTAACCAACTTCTGCAACCTGAAATTGAACATGTAAACAAGACGCAGCTGGCACAACCTGGCTTGCTGAATGGGAGGAGGGCTTGAACCGATTAGTCTTTGATGAAGACCAGAGACTAAAGCCTTGAATATGGATTACACCTGAACAGAAAACAAACGCCACACCTGGCTCAATAAGCGATAGCATGATAAACGGGGACACGATTGAAGTTGTCCAGGATGTCCTTTTGCCTGGGGCCACCGACAGTGCCCACGGAGGCAGCACTCAGGCAATCAACGGATGCATCTCACTCCGAAGCCTCTGTAGAATGTTACAAAGTGAAGAGTTCACTTTGAGCACTAAGGTGCACCTGACCCCAGCCCGGGTCTTTTCATTCACCTCAGCTGCCTGTGAAGAAGGCTGCACGTCGGCTCGGATGCCTTTAAATTGTAGCTCTGGCTGGGAATATGAAATATCCCTAGCACTGCCAGCGGGACGGACAAGCCTGCCTCAAGAAACACCACCAGAATAATCCTTAGAAGTGAGGATGGCAGGGCTATATCTCACCTCCTTTGAACCTGTAAGTGTGGCTGGTCCCTGGAGAAGCCACCGGGCTCATCAAGTCGGTGGAACAGAGGAAGACCCTCGGTGGGATGGCGGGCCAGTGGCCTCCACAGTGGGTTCAACACGGCAGCGGCTGTGAAGGGAGGCCTCTCCATCTTCCCTTTCCTTCTCGGGACCCTTTCTCTGTCTCAGACCCCTGCTGAAAGGGTCACTGCTATTGTCTTTCCTCAGCCCGCTTCCAACATCCCTCTCCATTCCAGTTGCCAAGGTCACCAATGCCTTTCATGTTGTTAAATCCAACCGTCAGGTATCGGCCCCTGAAACACTTCCTCTGGCCTTTGGGGCACCACCCTTCTGGTTTCTACCCCCCTCGGCCCCTCCCTCCCTGCCTCTTCTGGGCCAGTTTCCTTTTCATCTTCACAACCAAGGCATTGAGTGTCTTGGCCTCAAGGGCAGCCTTTTGACTCCTGGCCTCTTCTGTGCCCCCTCATTCTCAAGCAATCGCATCTTCATCTGATTGCCTCCGATGCCCTCTCTGGACGGATGACCTTCCGACTCTCTCATTTCCATTTCCAGACTGGTGGGTGTAACCTACTCAGTGTCTCTCTGGTTATCTGATGGGCACCTCAAACTTCATGTTCCCTGCAATGAACTCATGATTTGCACGTTCAGACCTGTGCCTCCTGCAGTCTTCCTTGTTGAAATGGGTGTTCAATCTGCCTTCTAGTTGGCCAGGCCCAAGGTCTTGGAGCCACTTCATATTGAATCTGTCAGCAAACTCCTGTTGGTTTCACCTTCAAAATATATTCAGGATCTGCCTACTACTGAGTCATTGCTTCTGCCCTGGTTCAAAACACCATTGTCTCTCATCTACAGAGTCGCTGCCCAACTTCTCTCTGCTTCTGCCTCTGCCCCTCTAGCCCGGCACCGTAGCAGCTAGTGATCCTTTCATAGCAGCTAGCGGCCATTCTGTACATAACGTTCTCCGGGAGTTTCCCCATCTTGCTCAGACTAAAAGCCCAAATCCGCACATTACTTCCAAGGCCCTCCTGGGTAGGGTCTGGCTTCTGCTCTAGCCCCAGGCCTGCCTGCTGCCCTGGCTGTCAGCACATGCAAACCTCGAGGTCTTTAACTCATCAGAGATGCTTCAACCTGAAGGATCCGATTGTTAGCTTCATCATGCCCTTCGGGTCTTTGCCCACACACCATTTTCTCATTGAGACTTTCCCTAGCCGTCTGACTTTAAATGGGTTGCATCCCGCACTTATCTCCCTTTCTAGTGGAGGCTTCACCTTAGCCCAGGTGTCCTCAAACTACGGCCTGTGGGCCACATGTGGCCCGCCAAGTGTTTTTGCCCCGTTTGTTTTTTTACTTCAAAATAAGATATGTGCAGTGTGCATAGGAATTTGTTCATAGTTTTTTTAAAATCCGGCCCTCCAACGGGTCTGAGGGACAGTGAACTGGCCCCCTGTTTAAAAAGTTTGAGGACCCCTGCTAGCCTCTATGCAAAAGAACCCTGGTGGTTAACTGCTTGGCTGCTGACTGCAAGGGTGGCAGTTTGAAATCACCGAGTGGCTCTGCCAGAGAAAGCTGGTGATCTGCCCCTGTGAATATCCTAGCCTAGAAAGCCCTGTGGGGCAGTAGTTCAACTCGGGCATGGAGGGCTTCGATGCGCCGAAAGCGATTCAAGGTACATAACAACAGCACAGCACTTAGGACCCTGTGATGTACAGCGTGTTAGAAAATTTTGTTTTGTTTGCTAATGTTCGTTACATGTCACTAGATTGTAAGGATTTTTTCCCTCTTTTAACTTTTTATTGTGGATTAGGCAAAGGTTTGCAGAACAGATTATAGTTTTACAGTCAACAGTTCCCTCATCCATTGCAATCCCTTCGATGTATGATCGATGATCTTACTTCCTCTCTGTGCTGCCTGTTCTCATTCTTCCTGTTAGCATGATTATGATCAAAAGCATTACCTTTGCAATACATGCTGTGCTGCCACCTGGAGAATGACGTTTTGGCCTGCTCACCACTGAAGCCCCAGCACCTAGTAGGTGCTCCATACATCCATATTTATTGGATGAACGAAGCTTTCTGGAATGCCAGTCTGATCATCTTTACCTCCTGTTCTGCTGCTAAAGCCCACTGCCGTAAGGATCAAATCTGAATTGCCTTAGCCTGTTATAATCACTCGCCTCAGATTTCATGACTTGAAGTTTCTCTTGCCCTCTTCTGCTTGCTCTCCAACCCAGCCTTCCTTGAATGCATGCGCCACCTCACCACCAGGCCTCTGGTCTTATCTCTGCATGGAGAGCTCAACCTGATGACCTCTTACTGGTCCTTCAGGGCTCAGACGAGGTCACATCTTCTGGGAAGCTTCCCAGACCCCTGCAGGCTGCGCTTGTGTCCGCGAGGTGGGCACACAGCCCTTCTGCAGCTTAGTCCTGCCCAGGCTTCTGCTGATGTCTCATCGCGGTGTGTTGGGCAGAGAGGCTCGGCAAGAATGCTGTTGCTGTGGAAAGGGGATTCATAAGCATGACAGTGGGTAAGGTAAAGAGTTAGAACGACTAAAAACCCAAGCAAGGACTTGGAATTTTCACGACATTGTCCTCTAGGTCTGGAGGTTTTGGGACCTAGGCAGGAGTCAAAAGCCTTTGATTGGTCCTCTCTGACTTGCATTTCTCCTCCTTCCTCTCTCTCAGGAGGGGATGTTACCATCACTGATCTGCCTCTGGCTCTAGAACAGATCCAGGGCAACGTCCAGGCCAACGTGCCAGCTGGAGGCCAGGCCCAGGTCCGCGCCTTATCCTGGGGGATTGACCAGCATGTCTTCCCTGGCGACTATGACCTGGTGCTCGGGGCTGATATTGTGTACCTGGAGCCCACCTTCCCACTGCTGCTGGGGACCCTCCGACACCTGTGCGGGCCCCATGGCACCATCTATCTGGCTTCCAAGATGAGAGAGGAGCATGGGACAGAGAACTTTTTTCAGCACCTCCTTCCTCAGCACTTTCAACTGGAGCTGGCCGAGCGGGACGAGGACGTGAATATCAACATCTATAGGGCCAGCCACAGAGGGCCAAGACCTGCTTGATGTTACCCACTCTGCTCTTGGGTACCCCTTGTCCCAACGAAGGAATGGCCATATTTCAAAAGCCACAAATACAAGGCCCCACTCCCCCCCTCTGAAAAAAAAGATGGATTTCTTTTCCCCGCCTCCTCCTCTTCTCTTTGTTCCCCTAGATTTTCTTGGTCAGATGCCTGCTTGCTAAGAGTCCAAGACCCTAGCAGTACTCATCTTAGGACCCAAAGGATGTTCTCAGTTCCCATTCTCGAGGAGCGTGTGTGTAAGGGTGTCCATAGCGTCCATCGGATATGAGATCAGTGGCTGCTGATAGATAAGACTTAGTGCCCACTTCCAGTCCTGCTCTTATCTCTTTATGCTCTGTGGATTCCCCCCCCAGGTTCTTTGGACTCTTTTCAAAGGGAGAGAAAGGGAGAGCACTTAAGATCTCTTCTGCCTCCAAAGAACTCAGGTTTCTGCCTTGGGGCCTGAGAAGAAAGAAAGTTTGTTTTTTTTAAACTCCTCGAGCTGGGCAGAAGGCACCGGGGCTCTAACTGGATCAAGTCCTCCCCGTCTCGACGGGAGGCATAGCCACCACACCAAGCCCTCCTTTGGCCGGTTGCTCCTTCGACCTTTTTTGGAGTTGGCGCCGTGATCACAGACCAACGCCATGCCCTGCAGAAGAACTCTGGACTGAGTTGTAGATTCCTCTCCTCCTCGAATTGTCTTTAGGCTTCTAGACCCCTTCATTTCTTCTTTCCCAGTGCGCTCTGCCTTCACCTCATTTCTGTTCTCACGTTGGCCCTTCCGACAGGGCCATAGAGCCATCTCTAGACTACCATCTTCTACTCTCTTCAAACCATTCTGCCAGCTATTGGTGAGCTTCCTAAAATCTGCTCTTGCTGCATCTAGAAGCAAGAACAGATTCCTCTGCTTGGGACTCAGTCTACCTCCATATGATTCCAAATACCCTTCTACTTCATTCCCTACTCCTCAGCTATATGTATTGGTACTTCTGGCTAGTCTACAAAAGATGTTCAAACTTCAAACTTCGTTCTTTCTGGTGATCTCATGCCTGGAATCCCTTTATCTCTCTGTCAAAGTCTTCATAGGCCCTCTTACATGTCCCTTCTTTCCTGAAACGGTCTTTCCTAATCCTCTCATTAGGATGTGATTTCTTCTCCCTGGGAGCCCTTGCCTTTGTTCAGCCTGCATGATCTGCCTTGTCTTGTATGGTCTGGTCATTTGTGTCCCTTTTGAATTATGAATTTAGCTCTGCGGCTAGGCCTGTTCTGGACCCCTCTCTAATCCTGGTGGGCAGTTAGAACCCATCAGAGGCACCTGGGAGGACAGGCCTGGTGAGTCACAGCCTTGAAAACCCCGTGCATACCTGTGGTTGCTGTGAACTGGAACTGACGTACAGAAGTGAACAGCAGCTTCCTGAGCACGGTTCCCGGCATGCAGTAGGTGCCCAATATATCTTTTGCTTATTCAACAAAGATTAACTCTGCTTGTTGAAGAGTCTCCACCCCATTCTCCCCCAGGGACCTTGGACAAATTTCCACCTACCTCACAGGTTTGCCATAGATCATAAATGGATAGTAATAATGATGATGAAATCAATAATAATAATAATAATGGTGAACACAATGTAAATAAAGAAATATAAGGTTTTTCCTCAGTGTCTGGCTGCGTTTTCATTTTGTGACACATTCATTTCATGCTTTCTACCATTTCACCCGTGGCAAGTAAATTCCCCCGTGAAATGTGGTCTCCCAGTGGTTCTCAACCTTCCTAATGCCGCGACCCTTTCGTACAATTCCTCATGTTGTGGTGACCCCCGCCCCAACCATAAAATTATTTTCGGTGCTACTTCATCACTGTCATTTTGCTACTGTTCGACCCCCAGGTTGAGAAGTTGGTCTAGGCTAGCTCAAGTAGGAGGCGCTGTGCCTTCCGGCCAGTAGGTGGCGCTCTCCGCCGGGCGCGTTCTCCTGAGGAAGTTTGGCCCCGCTGCCACGCCGTCGCCGGTCGCCTCACTGGCCCGCGCCGGCCGCGCAGAGAGACAGCCTGCGAGATGTTGCTCCTACGGTCGCTGCGCCTCTTCCAGGTGGCGCGCCCCGGAAGCCGCCGGGTGAGGAGTCCCGTGCTCGTCCCCTGCTCGGCAGGCACACCTCCCTTCCCTGCCGCTCTCGCGTTCCCCGGCCCCGGTTCGACCCGGCACCACCGGGCCGCGGACGTCCTTCGCTGCCCGGCCCCGGTGAACTGCCCACTCCCCTGCCGCCCGAGCCCAGGCCTCTCTAAGACCCCTCCTAGCCGTGCGCTCCCCACCCCCAAGAGCTGCCCGGGGTCCCCGACCGACTCTCACGCCGTTCTCCTGGCCCGCCCTCCCTCTGCAGGCGGGGCCCGGTCTGCGAGAGCCGCCGCCGTCATGGCCCTGGTTTCACAGCGGGCCCACGCCGGCCGCCTCGCCGCCCAGCAAGGAGCTGCTCGTGAAGCTGCGGCGGAAAACGGGCTACTCCTTTGTGAACTGCAAGAAAGCTCTGGACACGTGTGGTGGGGATCTCAAAGAGGTGTGTGGGCGGGGGAGTCTGGGCGGGGTGCCAGGCTCCGGCTGCACACTATTCCAGGGCACGGAAGTAAGGCCTGCTGCCCTTTGACCCCAAGAGCAGTGTCCTCCATAGGGGTTCTGGTCGAACCGATGGAACCTCCTTGGCCTTTGATTGGGAAGCAATTGACGCGGGATCCCACGGGTGACAAACTATTCCATAGGAGACGCTACCGACTCTTTCCCCATACTTGGAGTGGAGAGGGTTTGTGTAAGCTAAGGAGCTGGGGACTAAACCCAAAGCCTTCGGCTCACTCCTAGCAATCATATAGGACAGAGTAGAACTGCCCCTGGGTGTTTCCAAGGATGCGGATCTTCAGAGGAGCAAAAACCCTCCTTCTCTTGTGGAAGAACTGGTGGATTAGCATTTCCCACCTTGAGCTTAGCAGCCCACAACACCACCAGGCCGGCTCTCAGATGGTGCCCGCCTCACACGAGCCGCGAGACTGTAGCCTTATTCCTTAATCTTTCAGAGTTGCAGCGTTCTTGTCAGTAAATGAAGATACTACTATGTGCACCCCCTGGGGCTGTTAGGAAGAATAAATTTACCCAAAGCGCCAGGTACAATGACTGGCATTTGGCATTTAGTGGTAGGCTGCAATAAATGTTAACTTTAGTTTCTACTCTAGAATTTAGGAGAGGCAGAAAGAATGGGGAACCTGAGGCTCAGCCAGTTCTAAACTCTGTAATTTTGCCATCTGTCCCCTTTCTCCACAATTGGTAGGCAGAAAGTTGGCTCCACCAGGAGGCCCAGAAGGAGGGCTGGAGCAAAGCTATCAAGCTCCATGGGAGGAAGACCAAGGAAGGCTTGATTGGGCTGCTGCAGGAAGGCAACACAGCTGTGTTAGTGGAGGTGAGTTGGCGGAATTCCCCATCCCAGGCTCAGCTGTCTTGTGGGTAAGGCTTTGGGTAGACTCTGCCTTCTAAAAGATGCCTGAGAACCATAAAGATAGTCAGACTTTAAAGCTGTGAGACCTTAGTTATTGGCTATAGGTTTACGTTGAGATATGCACAGATGTGTTGATTTTAAAAGGCTTAGCAGTCCAGACCAAGGGTCAGCAAACCTTTTTGAGACGCACGAGCCGATCCTGTCCCTTAAAACAATTAAAAAAGTGTTCAAGAGCCATAAATAAGGCTCAATTGCAAATGAAGTCACCGTTCTCTGAATAATGTTCATCATTTTGTTTCAATTTTACTTTAGAGCCCATGTGGATGTACCAAAAGAGCTGCATATGGCTCCCTGCCGACCCCTGCTCTAGACTTTCTGTCAAGTGGGAATAAGCTTTACATCTTATTGCTGACTACTGGAGCAATTAGAGTTTAATGCTAGGAATTACTATTTGGATGATGGGTAGAGAGTAACTATTTTAGAGGAGGGTTAGGGCCCATAATTGGTGAAGAATCAGTTATGATTAGAGTGAGAGAATTGGATGAACAAGCTTTTAGCAAAAGTGGTTTGGAGTTGGGGGTGAATGTAGCACAAAATAATTATGCCGTGCAGCCAGTCAAGAGGTGCATTTGTAGAGAGACCTTCAGGGATGCAGTGGACCTGTCTACTGGGTGTACAGGTTTGTCTGACTCATTGCTAGAGCAGTAATTATTTCATTCGGGTTTTGGCCTCAACCTAAAAGACTTGCAGCTTAGAAATTCTAGGGCCGCTTATTTCTGTTAAGCCCACAGCTTGTTTAACTGGGCTTACTCTTCAGGCTCTTTTGGAGACTCAGTAAACAGCTTATACAATAGCACTGATTTGTTCCCACAGGTAAACTGTGAGACAGATTTTGTTTCCAGAAATTCAAAATTTCAACAGTTGGTCCAGCAAGTAGCTGTTGGAACCTTGCTGCATTGTCAGAGCCTTAAGGAGCAACTCCCCACATACAGTAAAGTGAGTTTGGGGGCTAATTTCTAACACTGTAACTTTGTTCCAGGTCTTTGACTTCTTGTTCCTAATTTTTTTCAGAGTCTCATGTCTTACTTTAGTCTTGCTTAAATGTTACTCCTTTAAAAAGCATTGTTCTTTTTCCTGTTGCTCTATCCCCTTATTCTTCATTTTTATTACAGTGCTTATCTATTGCATACTTATTTGTATCTTTCTGTTTTCCTTAGTAGGATGTAAACCTCATGAACGCAATTTGCCTTCCTCGCCGTGTCAGTAGTGAAAGAGAACGGGGTCCAGCACTCAGTGGGGGCTCCAGAAATCTTTGTTAGATGAGTGGACGAATGCCAGTAGAATGGGGTCAGCCAGTCAGATGACACCGTCTGAGGCTTTCTGTTCAGAAATCCTGAGGAATACCCCGAGGAAAGGACTTCTAGAGAGAGTGGGGTTAGGAGACTAAGCATTGTCCATAGGAGAACCAAAGAAGGGATTAGAGCCCCAGAATCGGGCACCTTTCGAAGGAACGGTGGTGGGAAGCGGCGTTAGAAATCAAATGGGTAGCTGACAGGCGCTGGTGCTTCTTTGCTCTTTGAGCAGATAGGGTGAGGAAGTGTGTGTGTCCACACTCAGTGTGCAGGGTTGTCCCTCCGTTTCTCACCCAGCACTACAGGGGGCTTCCTGCTCGTCTCCCTTTCTAAATTTGTATCTTCCTTCTCTCTTGGTGAGAAGTTTGCTTCTAGCTACTTTAATGTGTTTGCTTGTTAACTTAGTGTTACTATGCACAGTTGCTTCAGAATTGCCACACCTTACTACTCCAAATAACAAACTTAGTAATTGGAAAATTTTTTTGTAGTTTTTTTTGTATTTATCTTGAAGGTATACGGTTAAAGGGCTCTGCTGAAAGTTATTTGGTTTCGGTGGGTTTGTGTTTGTATGCAGACAGACAGACAGACAGACACACACACACACACAAACATTTAACCACTGTGTCACCAGGGCTCCTTATGAGGTTATGTTATTCACTCGAAACACAGTTTATGTATTCCCCCATATGTATTGATCAGTTTTAATACTTCCTCCAAAATCCTTGTTAATTTCATTTTTGGATTAAAACATTAACATGAATTAAATGATTTTAAAAATGTAACCAGTTTCCCAGAGTTAAAGTTATAAAACAATACTTCATCCTAGTGTGTACCATGGTTTGTTTGTTTAACACATCTCCTCTTTTGAGGCCCCGGGTTGTTCTGGTATTTTACAATGAGAAATAACCCGTCATGAGTAACTTTGTGTTTATGTTTAGAAGCCCTGGTGGCATAGTGGCTTACTCCTTGGGAGTTCCAACCCACCAGCTTCTCTGAGTGGGAAAGATGAGGCTTTCTGCTCCCATAAAGATTTACATCGCAAAGAGGCAGATCTCCTCTGCTTAGAGGGACACTGTGAGTCAGGCTACTCCATGGCGCTGGGCTGGGTTTGGTTTGGTAGGCACATGTATGTTGTTGGGAGTATGTGGGGTAAATTCCCAGAAACTAGTCTCAGGGTCCCAGGGTGACTGTGGCTTTGTGAAACAGTGTTCCATTTCCCCCATAGCGCTGGCACCCTAATCATTCCAACCAATTCTCTATAAGCCTTTTAGCTTTGGTATTTTACGAAATATGATTCCTGATTTCTAGGAAATTGCATTATAGGAAGTTAGACTGAAGGATGGAAGTGGAATGGAATTGGGGATGGTTCAGTAGTCTAATAAAATACTAGTGAAACTGGACCTGTTTACAAGTTTTAGTATCCTTGGTTTATTAACAATATCACCTGTACAATCATTGTAGAAAGCGATATGGCACTGCCTCAAACAATGGGAATAGAAATCCATGTGACCCAGCAATGCTTCTGTGGGGTATATACCCCAAAGAAGTAAGAGCCGTAACACAGACAGACGTAGGCACCCTTGTGTTCATCCCAGCACAGTTCACTATGTCAAGAAATTGGAAACAGCCCAAATGTCCCATCTGTGGAAGAGTGGTTAGATAAACCGGTACACACACAAACAGACTGCTGTGCATCACTAAAAACAATGACGAAACCACGAAGCACCTCATGACGTGATGGACCTGGAGAATGTTTTGCTGAGTGAAGTGACTCACGAGGGCAGATACTGGATGAGACTCCTGCAATCAAGATAACAACCGAGACACAAAGTCTTGACTACTGAAGGGAACAGACTGGAGATTCCCAAGAGGGAGGGAGAGCAAGGGTGGGAAGGTTGGCGGGTATTGACTTGTGTGGAAGGGAGGGTGGAAGGAGAAGAGAATTTGGGAGAGAAGGGTGGGGTAGACTATGAGGGGTGGTGGTAAATGAGTGAACTGTTGAATGTCGTTGGTGATCTGAAATGTAAACACACCCCACTCCACTCTCACATAATTCACAATTTTAAAAATACACTAACAAAGAAAGTACCATCTGTGTATAAAACTCCACTGCCATTGTCCATTCTGCCTGTAGGATAGACTGGAATGCCTTCTTAGGGTTTCTAAGGCAGTAAATCCTTATGGGAAGGCCGCCTCATCCTTCTCCCCTGAGGAATGGGAGTGGATAGTTTTGCCTGTTGTCTTGATACTTTGAGTAGTGCATAACGGTTCATGTTTGCTTTCTTTGTCTGTGCACTCAGGGCTTTCTGAATTCCTCTGAGCTCTCTGAACTTCGAGCTGGGCCTGACAGAGAAGGCTCGCTCAAGGATCAGTTGGCCCTAGCAATTGGTGAGTACTTGTGAGGATTTTAGAAACGAGTTAAAGACTGGATCCTTTGCTGTGTCTCAATCTAGATCAAGAACGACAAGCCTGGAAGCACCAGACAGTGTGAGAAGCAGGCTTGTGTTTGGTGATAGAGCACAGTGGGCGTCCTGCAGGAGGATGCAGCCACGCCAAGCCCTTGTTAATGGTTATCTTGGGGGAAAAGAGTCCCGCCCCCCGTCCCTCCCCCTCCCCCTCCCCCGTCGATTTGTGTGTGAAAATCTCCCGGTTTTTAGCTGTTTGTAACAAATGATTTTCAGCTGTGCTGGCCAAAGCATGTGTTTAGCCAGAGATGTAGAGACAGCCTTCTGACTCCTGGTCTGCCACCACGCTGTGCACTTCAGGAGAAATGATACATTAAAATGTCATCCCACCTTCCTCGTAAAGGGGCCCAGGAAAACTTAAGACCACTGTGGTTACGGGTTTGATCTTTTAAAAAAAACCCCAAAAAGCAAGTAAAACACTGGGTCCTGAATTTGTGAAGGTCAATTCTGTGAGAGCCTGCTGACCATAGGAACATCTGACCTGGCTGGTGGTGCTGGGACGTGTGGGGGTTTTCCTTTCTTCCTATGTGCCCTTGATGGATGAAGGGGAGTAGGTCTGGGTTGGAGCTTGCCGGGAATCTAACTGCTTATCTGAAGCTTCCAAGCAAGGCATAACTTCTGTTTTTTTATGAGATCATGCAATATTTATGATGATTCAGTGAGGCTTATTAGGACATTCTGGAAGAACTAGGGCTTCCGTCTTTTCAATTCTGGGAATTATGCATTGCATTGTTTGAAAATTCATTTTGTCTTCCACATATTCCTTTTTTCATGGCTTATGGTTTAACGATGGCTAGCTCAGGGCCCTTTATTTATTCTCCCTTTTGTTGTCTTGGGCCTTCTGATACAGGGAAAGAATAGCCGGGAGAGAGTGGGTAAGGGGAGCGCATTTTGGTTCTTTTTTTTAAAAAAATGATTTATTTTTTCCACTTTGGTCCTTACACACAACTCTGGAGGTGTTACCTGCTTGCTTTTGAGGAGAGGAAGTGGAAACTCAGACGGCGTGGGGTCTGGGTCTTCTGGGGCGTTGTTGTGATACAGTGAACGACCAGGAGCTGGCTGTGCCAGTTACTGTGGTATTGGGAGGGGAGGCCCTTGATGGGGAAAAGCACTGCATTGTGTTGGAGTCTTAGCTGAGTAGTAATGCCAGCTGTGCCGTCGTTAGCTAGCCGAGCTGCACAGATTGCCGACTCCCTCTGTAACTAAGCACGAGTAAAGGCCAGCACCTGAATGAATGCCCACTGTGTGTCGGACACCGTAATGGTGCTTTATCATACATGACCTTTATTTCTCCCCGTAACCTTAGAAGGTTGTTGGTGCTGTCTCCATTTTGCTGATGAGAACACGAAGCTTGTTAAGCTAGTGAGTAGCACTACATCATTGAGTCACTTGCCCAAGGTCATGTAGCCAGCCCCACAGAAGAGGCAGAACTGACATCTGAGTCACAGGGTCTGACAGCCCAGCTCAGCTTTTTAAGTCACAGAGAGCCTGGTGTTCAGAGTTGGTGCCAGTAAAGGTACCCCACCTACCCCACCCTCTAAACATACACTCTATTCTCTGTAAACATAAACTGAAAGTAGCATCTCTCTACCTTGTAGAAAATCCAAGTGCAGAGGGCCGGTCTGTGTGTTAGGACTTGGCCTCCTCTGTGCATTTTGGAACTACCAGAGTCATCTTATCCTGCTGGTGTGTTGGTTGCTTGTTTTTGTTTCTTATAGGTAACCTGGGAGAGAACATGACTCTTAAACGCGCTGCGTGGGTGAAGGTGCCCTCTGGGTTCTATGTTGGCTCTTACATCCACGGAGCATCGCACAGCCCCTCGCTCCACAACCTGGTGTTTGGGAAGTATGGGGCCCTGGTCGTCTGTGAGACATCTGAGCGGAAAGCGAACCTCGAAGACCTTGGTCGCCGCCTCGGGCAGCATGTAGTGGGCATGGCCCCACTCTCTGTTGGCTCCCTGGACGATGAGCCTGGGGGAGAAGCAGAGACCAAGATGCTCTCCCAACCCTATTTGCTGGATCCCTCTATCACGCTGGGACAGTATGTGCAGCCCCAGGGGGTGTCTGTCGTGGACTTTGTGCGGTTTGAGTGTGGTGAAGGGGAAGAGGCAGTCGAGGCTGAGTAGGTCCCAAAGACTCAGGGCCCGGGAGGAAGTGGGTGTTGGTAACTGTGGACATCAAGGCAAAAGGAAGCTGATTCCTAAGCCTCTTCAAACCCAGGATTCATTTTTTAGTTTATAAAATAATGTTAAATAAAATTGCTTATAGAACAAAGAGGGTAATACCCTTTTCCTTCCTTGTTTGGGTTACACTGGGTTTAGCTTTTGTGTACTGTATGTGTGCCAGGTTTGCTTTATTGAAGTGACTGGGAGAACAGGCATCAGCGACCATGCGCTGCTCTACTTATCCTAGACTGGTTCTGGTCTCCCTGAATTTTCTCACTCATCCATTCTAGCATCCTCCTCCTGTGGCAGAGAGCTTCCGTGTTCTGCTTTCACAGGTTTGGACCATACTGGAGTCTCCCAGCTACATGGCTGGGATGCCTGTGAAACTGTTGAGGGTTGTCTGGAGAATGTGGCCCACGTGCTGCTCTCTGTAACATGCGTCCGAGTCACTCCGCATGCTGGCTCTGACAGCATTATGAAAATTAACAGTGTGTGGCCCTCTCTGGCTTTGGGGTAATGGGGTTTGGGTGGGTGGACCCGAGGTTTCCTGGAAGCGTATGTAAGGCAGATTTTGACATCGTTTTGCCAGAAGAGGAATTGCAGTGGTCCACTTAGCGAGAGCTCACTCATCATCCCCAGTGCTGGGACTTTGCTCCCAACCGAAGAGAGAGATCAGCCCTATCGAATTCACAACTGAGAAAATATTTTTCTAAAAATTCAACAAGCTAGTGATCAGAAGAGGCAAATCCCCAATGCTGAAAAGAACTTGGTTTGCTCATCCCGATCTCTTTATTTGAGAAGTTCAGACTGGGCCGGCACGCACATACTGATCTGGGCAGCTGCAGTCTGTCTGTGAATGTCTTGAATGACTGTGAGTTGAGGAGGTTTGGGAAATGCTTAGCTTATGAAAACAAGCTTAGATCCTGGCAGCAGTATTACTAAATGCCTTTTTTGCTTAAACTTTTTTTCCTATCTACCTCTTTGCTTTTCAGATTCATGCAGTTTTAGTGCTTTCTGACTTTTAGCCGGAAGATCACGAAACCCCCATTGAGCAGATAACATATTAGATATAAAACAACTAAGGAATGCAAGGATGAGAAAATACGGAGAACATGCTGTGATTTGCAGACCCTAGGCAAAAACTGGCAGAGAGACATTTTTCCTGAGTTGGCGCTATCTGTTTTCTCTGGTGGTCCTGCAGTAGGCGTGTGCTCTTGTGCCTTAGAAAAGCCCCTTCTCTTTCTTCAGCTGGAGCTGTTTCCATCCAGGGAGAGTAAGAAATTGCCCTCTTGTGATGCCAAACACAGAAACGAAGTCCTGTTCGGAGAGGTGATTCTAGGAGAGAGCACAGGGTTCTTGGTTAGGAGGGAGATAGAGAACAACACTTCTTAGCACCAATGGAGGTAGAGGAGACGGGTGCGGGAGCCCTAGGCTGATCCTTAGAGGAAAACAGACTCTCTACTAGACTTAGCCCTTTTGAAGGCCCATTTTTGGCCTGTGGGAGAAACTGACTGGATTTCAAGCTCTCACAGTTGCCAGGAGGACATAAGATGGACTGTATGAAGGAGTCTCAAAAAAATTTGTGGAAAAATTGCTACATTTTAATTCAAATTTTCCACAAACCTTTGTGCTCCCTGGTATACTAAGGTAAGAATTGGAGACATTAGCTTTTGATGTAATGGCTTGATAGCTTTACCTACTGTTTTAGGGCACAGATGTTCAAATGCCACATCAGGTGGTTCTGGTTGGCAGGGTAAAGTTTGTCTCAACATTTATATACTGATAGGAATATTTCATTTTCAAGTAACAGTTATTGAGATAGAGCCCCTGCCGTCAAGAATGTTGTAGCCCAGATGCTCACGAGTTGGTTGGTAAGACATTGTGGAAAACCCAGAGGCTCTTCTATGATCAGGTCACGCAAGGAAAGATCATCCCATGAACATAGTCACTCACTGCAAACTTTGTGTCTGTTCTCGGGCACCGTTTGAGGCGCTAAGTGGAGACTGATGGTGAAGAAGGCAGACTAGCTCTGTACCCTTAAGCATTTCACCAAGGGGGGCAGTGTTGGAGGTGTAGGCAGAGAAGCCTCCCTGGGAAGGTGACATTGGAGCTTGCTCTGCTTGAGTGATGAGAAGGAGCTGGCCTTGATGACAAGGAGAATGCTTTTCAGGCAGCAGTAAGTGCAAGTGGAGCGAGTATGTCGAAGGAACCACTGGCTGAAGGGCAGTTAGTGAAGAGAATAGCAACAGATGAAAAGTCAGAGTGGGTGGGGCCAGATTGTAGGTTCTTGAGGGCCAGGAAAGGATTGCGGATTTTAAGTGGGAAGACATTAGAAGTGTTTTAAAGTAGAAAGTCATCTTTTTAAAAATAATCTCTCTGGCTGTTGTGTAGGGAATGGATTCTAGGGTAAAGTGCAGTTGGGACTACTGTGGGCGTTCCTGGTGGCTTGGCCTAGGAAGGCAGTAGAGAGCTAGAGAGGAGTGAAAGAGACTAATGGATTAATGTGGGAGGTGAGAATCAAGGTCAAGCTCTGCAGAGTTATGAAAACTCAGACAAAACCAGACACCTTGAGGGAGTGAGTCACTAGGCTCGTATTAAGTGGGGTCTTAAAGGCTCATGAGCAGCCATCTGTGGTGTAACTACTAGTCTCTCCATCTGGAACCAAGAAGAATGAAGAACATTGAAGACACATGGAAAAAATTAGTCCAGTGAACTAGTGGACAGCAAGAACATTCACCTCCATGATGACCCTGAGTCCAGAAGAACTAGGTGGTCCCTGCTACTACCAACTACTCTGAAAGGGATCCCATTAGAAAGAACCTGGATAGAGTGGGGGGAAATGTGGGACACCAAACTCACAATCCTCCAGGTAACCTGGCGTACTGATTGCAGAGAGACTGGTAGAACCCAAGACTACGGCCTTTAGTTACCCTTCCGCTTCAGAAATGAATAAACCCACATGGCTCAAATTTTTAGCCAAAACATCAGACAGGGCTTTTGACACCGTGACACCTGGGAGGTTCACACTAGACTAGTCAACCACTGAGATGAAAAGGGCGGCATTTGCCCATGGACAAAGTTCAGGAGGGTCGGGAAGGAGGAGGCATGAAGGCAGGGACAGGAAGTGGGACAAGTGACGTTACATCATGGGACTCGCAACCAGTGACACAATGTGTATGAGTTGTTGGAAACAGGTGTTACTGTATACAAATGTTAAAAGTCGTGGACTTTTGGCTTGAACTGGGTAGCTCGTGTGTTTATTGCACCTCTAAGGTGCCAGAACCACCCGTGGGCCATTGACTGAGGTAGGTGCTCTGCATCAGACGCATGCCCTTCAGCCACTCACCTCCTTTTTGGCAGGGTTCACATCCTCTGGCAGCTCCTGATTCTGATTTTTCAGTAGAACTTCAATAGGATAATATTTTGGCCCACTGTCAGCAGAACTCATTGCGAGGGCCGTGTTGCTCATGTCCTGTGAAATGAGATAGGAATGCACAGACACAGGAAAAACAGACTGTTTAGTTTTTGTGTATTTACAGTCTTGCGTCTAATACTTACATTTTGGCATGTACCACTTTACCCTCTAGTCATCTTTCAGAACAGTGGACTCCCAACCTGACTGCGTGATGGAATCCTCCGGGAATTAAAAAATTCCTCTGTGGGAGGAGTTCCTTCTAGAGAATACTGACCCAGTAAACCTAAGGTAGGTCCTGGGGGTGCTTTGTTAAACAGCTCCTGGGACGGTGTAGACATACAACCAGTTTAGCATAAATGCTATGCTTAATCTCATTTAAAAATTGGGACCACAGATCTTCTCTTGGAATTTTGACTTAGGCCTCATATTCTCAGCCTTGAAGTAGCTCCAGTCATACTTTTCTGAAATACATTTTCATAGGCTAGCCGCCGTTCTCGCAAGCACTTGAGTGTGTCGAGTGCAAGGACAGGATTGCCAGATGACTTGAACACCTGGCGCCAGGCACTCACCTTGATGTTAAAGAGCTTGAGGGTTCCTGGCTGAGACCCTGTGTCCCTCAGCCATGAACTAGGGACAAGATGACTTAATTTCTGTGCACTTCACTGGCAGCAGGCACTGATGCAACTGTCATTTGTGTTAGAAGCTTATTACTTCTGAAAACCAATACTGACAGTGAATTTGAATGGCATGTCTTTTAAATTCCGGGAGGTAATCAGACACAGAACTTGGCTCTGAGGCCTGCTTTTTCCACTGATTTGGGGGAAAAAAAAAAAATCAAAATAGACGATTAAATAATTCTAAAAGGGACATGTCAGGGTTTTGTCTATGTGGCATTGCTGTCATTGGCTTTGGTTGCCTGTGTTACTTGCTTTAGGAGCAAGCTGCTGTAACAGAAACAGGAGCAGTGGCTTTAACAGAGACACGTATTCTCGCACAGTTGACGAGGTTGGAGGGCTGGCTCTCGGGGCAGGTTTTCTCTCTCACTTGGCTCTTGGGCCATCTTCATGTGGCTTCACATCTCCCTGCCCCCTTTGCTGGCTGACACAGTTAATAGCTCTTCTATCTCCAAAGAGATCAGGATACCCCTTACACGAACCCTGGCTCACTCACATCTCAAAGAAAGCTCATTTCCAAGTGGGATTATAACTAGGCAGAGAGGTTAGGATTTATAGTGTGGTGGGGATGGGGGACACACACACAGTTCAGTCCCTAGCACCAACTCACAGCTGTGATTCTCATGATGGCAGCAGTATCCGCCAGCTCTTCCTTTAACTGTTCATAAGATTTTCCTGCCTGAGAAGAGAGAATACAGGGTGAGGTGCTGATGGTAGGAGAGGGGCCTCTCCAGTGAGCCTGACATGTCACCTCAGGAGAAGCAAAGGGGACAAACCCCAGGGAGTCAAGACCAGTCAGGGAGAGGCACAGAGGACGAGTCCCCACTTCTGGGCCCAGGCAGGACTGGAAGGTGCTGAGACACGATCAGCATTCTTGAATGCCTCCCTCACTTCTTCCCAGGGAGGCTGGAGAGAGAGGAGCTGACTAAGAGTCAACCATTCTGGGGTTGTGGGTTGTCTTTAGCTCAGCTTTCTCATCTAGTACGTGGGGAATTTAATCCTGAGCCGACTGCTGGCTATCGTGCAGGGTACGTTGCAAAGATCAAAAGATCTGGGTTTGTATGTGCTTTATTAACTGGTGCTTATGTGCTCTGCTAATTTTTGAGGCAGGCTGTGGGTTCTCCAGCTGGATTTACCAGTGGGATAGGTAGGAATGAGAAGAAGGTGACATGGAAGGATAGAGTGAGTGTGGAGGAAATGAAGCCCTGTTTTCACTCAGCCCTTGAATTAGGCTTCCTACCAGTGCTCCCTGAGCCCTTAGCTAGAGTGGCCCAGCCGTGAGAGCATCTTTGCATTGTTCTTACGCTCCAAATGTGAGGGTCCCAGGCCAGGAACCAGCCTGTGAAGATGGGCGGCTCAAAGCCCTGTTTAATGATTAGGATTGGGGTGTTGACGTCTCTGCCGCTGGGATGGGTGTTCAGGTACTCCTGGGCGGTAGCAAGGGCTTTCTCCTTCTCTGTGGCATTTGCCTCAGCCCCAATCCACAAGAATACCTGTTGTGGTAGAAATGTAATGTTTTGCAGTCTGCTTATACCAAGGATTTAAATTCTAGATCATCCACACTACCTTATCTTTTCCCTTCAGTCATGAATAACCTTTATAAACTTTCCTAACCCATTGCTAGGCAGAGAGGAAGATTCTCCCAGAATTGGCATGATATTTGGGGTTGTAATTGCCACCCATGTGTATCTCCCGCCTCTTTCTAGTCCTGAAGTCTCTTCTGAACTTCAGCTTCCTGAATCCAGATGCAAAATACTTCCTCTTGCTACCTCCAAGCACCAAAATACCCCAAACGTAACGCTCAGCCTTTCTGTACTTCTGCCTGAGTCACCTCTCTTGGTGAGTGGCACCCATGTAGCCAGTCAGCCAAGAGAGAGACCTGGGTAGGTCATCCTACATTCCCATGCCCCCAATCCACTTAGTCCCCTAGGCCAGCCTGCAAATGCTGGCTCCTGTGTTTGTCAACTCCATCACCATGCCTCTGTCTCTACTTCTTGCTGTCCTAATGCAGACCCACAGCAGCTCTTGCAAGACTCTTCTACGAGGCTACTACCTGGCCTTACAGTGTACAGCCTGCCTTTTCCCCTCCTCTTCCCCTCCCCGCTTCTGTTCGCACAGTTACTGAAGTGATCTACCTAAAGCCCTATCTAACCCTGTTGTTCCCTTGCTTTAACTTAGTGAATGTTCTGGATACATTTCAACCTTGGTACGGCCCGTACTTGTTTCTCCAGCTTCCTCGCTGGACATTCCTTAACTCTATTTGATGTCTGACAGGATTTCTTAGTGTCCGGTTATATTTCACCCCATGCTTTCACTTGTCTGTGCCTGGAATGTTGTCTGCGTCTTTGCCTTGTGAAAGCCTCCTGAGGTGTGCCTTAGGAGCCATCTCTGGGAAGATTCCCTCAGCGGTGGGAGTGCCCCTGGTTTGTGCCCTGTGGCACCTCCCACTTGCCTCCATCACAGAAAGTGATGGTTTCTATCTAGCTTCCCCACTAGCCTGTTAGCCCTGAGGGGAGGGCCCGCCACCTTAATGACACCACCCCTCGCACAGTGCCTGGCACAGAGGATGGAAGTGCGGAGTTTGCGGAGCCAAATGGGAAAACATGGGGCGTGAAGGGGTTGTCTTGGAAACATCCCTTTCATACCCCACTGTTGCATAAAAGGTCCCCTGTCTGTGGACTGGAATCTGCTGCTGTTGGTCCTAAGAGATGAGAGTGCATGATGATAGTCCGGCCTGCTTGTCCCAAAGCAAGCAGTCCCTTCTCCTCTCCCCGACCCTGGGCAGAATAGATCACCACTGACAAATGTGTGACAGTGAATGGGTCAGTGCGACCCTGCTGTTCCTTCGCGGGTGTGGATGTTACTCTAATACAGTTCAAGGCCTCTGGAAGTGACTTGCCTCATCCCAGGTATCCAGGAGCATCACATCCCCGGGGTTCAGGTCATCCTGGGTGAAGTCTGTGATCTCAGTGACAATGAACCGACCAGTCTTATTGGAGCACTCAAAGAGGCGTGGCTGGACATCCAGGGTTTCCTGCTGTAGTCTGGAAGACAGTCCATTTAGAGGAAGTGAGGGGCTTTGAAATCTCCCACATACCCCCAACAGTTTTATTGGTGTATAATTCACATATCATACACTTCAGTAGTACCATCATCCCTACAATCGGTTTTAGAACATTTCCTTCACTTTTGCACTCCCGACCCCCCCCCCCCATACTCCTAAGGAACCATTCATTCAGTTCCTGCCTCTAGATTTACCTATCCTGGATGTCATATACAGGAAAACATAAAAAACAACAACAAGAATAACAGTAAAACTTCGATAGGAAAAGAAAAGAAAGCAGAAAATATTAAAAACCAGAGCAAGTTTAAATGGATCATAAGGGAGATCAAATGGTAGGGTGCTAAATGTTAGCCTCACTGTGTCTGCAACCCCTATGTTCCAATGCAGTCGGCATGTTAGTGAGCCTGTTCACCTCCCTGGTCAGAGGGCTCAATCCACGTGTACTTCCTCCTCCCTTTTTTTTTTTTTAAGCTGAAACGGTTTTAAATGGGTCAAAGGGGAGATTGATAAGTTAGTGCATTTTGACTTAGCTGCGTCTGCCTTAATAGACTTTGCAATGCTCTCCAATAATAGGGCAATTCACATCCCTCAACTATGTCAGAAGGGATTCACCGGAGGCTTAATCCGTGTGAGGATCCTGCAAATGGATTTTGGGCTTCCACTGTCACCCATAGCCTTCTGCAGAACAGGTGTTCACAATTTAAGCTCTAATGCCATTCCCTCAGAAATTTTATTTTAAAAGTGAAAGGGACCTAGAGTTTGTGCAGTTCATGAGACTGGGCGGCAGGGGGAGCCGAGAAGCCAGCGCTCTTGTTCCCATACCTTTTGTCATTGGCATAGGGAGTTTTCCCTCCTAGCAGGTCCCAGAACTCAGCTGGCTCCTGGCCCTCGGCCACCGTGTCCTCAGCGCCGTCACAGAGGAGCCCTGCCAGCTCCTTAGCCATGGCCCGTTCATCCCCGCTCGACCCCTGGGAGGGTGTGGAGAGCACAGATGGTTAGTCCCTCGTGGCACGGAGATGTGGAACAGAAGCTTCTAAGACTAGTAGCTCTGTGCCGTGCGGACCAGCTCCCAAGCCACAGTGCCTCTGCGTGGAAAGGGGCCTGGAGGGGCACGACTAGGCAGCAAAGCCACAGTGTGTGGTGAAACAAGTCACCTCTGTTTCAGCGCCCATTGGGATTTTGGTGCCTACCTTTGATTCTTTCCTTTTAGGAAAAAAAAAATCAATTTATTTTTAAAAATTACATATAGTAAAATTCACTCTCTTTTAGTGTCCAGTCCTAGGAGCTCAGAAAAATGCCCGGGATCATGTCACCAACACCAGAGTCAGATACAGACCAGGATCCTTGCTGCCCAACCCCCTGCCCCATGCCCCAGTGCTGCTCCTCTGAAGTCAAGCCCTGTTCTCTCCCCTTCCCGTAACTACTGAGTTCTTCTCTGTCACCGTAGCTCTGCCTTTCCCCGAATGTCGTGTCAGTGGGATTATATAAAGAAGCTTCTGGGTCTGGCATCTTTCACTGAGAAATGCACTTGGATTGACCATGTTGTATATAGCAGGGGTTCTTCCCGCCTTATTGCTGGTAACGTTCCACTGGGCATGTGTGCATGTGTGCCTCAGTTTGTCTGCCTGGTCTATCCATTCTCCACTTGGGTGGTTTCCAATTTTGGGCAACTGTGCATTACGTTGCCTTAAATATTGGTATACAAGTTGTTGTGTAAAACACAGGTTTCTGTTTCCTTTGGGGAAAGACTTAGGAGTCGAATTCTGGAATCTTAGTCTAATTGTGCATGTTTAAGAAACTCTCCAACTTTTCCTAAGGCTGTGTGTATTCCTGTCAGCAATGTGAGAGTGCCTGTTTCTGTGTCCTCGCTGGGACTGGATATTGTCTTTGAGCCAATGTACTAAGTAGGTGTGCAGAAATCATGGTGGTGCTGTGGGTTAGGCGCGGGGCTGCTAACCACCAGATTTAAGCCCACCCGCTGGAAGAAAAAATGGAACTGTCTGCATGCCGAGAGGTTTACAGCCTCAGAACCCCTTTGCAGGGTAGCTGTGAGTCAGCATCAACTCGAGGGCAGCAGCTCTGTTTTCTTGATAAGAGATGTGCAGTGACACCTCATTGTCATTTTAATTTGCATTTTCCATAGTGACTGATGTTGAATGTCTTTTTAATGTTCATTTTCCTATTCTAGAACAATTTTTTAGTGCATATGCAGATACAAATCTGAATCAAACAAAGCACATTATCAGTGTTTTTGTTTTGCTTTAGTACCTGTTACAACCCACCAAAGAGGGGCCTCCCCTGCCTCCCTCCCCTTAGGAGTCTGTGGGTGTCTCTCTCACTGGACACCTGATTATGGGGACTGCTTGGACCTCCTGCAGACAAAAAAAAGCCTCATCTGGTGAGGACCCTGGTGGTGTAAGAGTGGGCCCAGGGCCCACCTGCCTACCTTGCCGTACCACAGGTAGTGCTCTGTCTGGCTGCGCAGCAGGAAGACGTCGTTGGAGTTTAATGAAGAGGCGAAGGCTGGAACCTCCACTGCTTTGGTGTTAGATTTGTCGTTTCCCTGAATTTGGAAGAGCCTGACTGGAGGGTCCGGCTCCACATTTCCCTTCCTGGAAGTTCCACCCTACGGAGGAGAAAAGCCATGTCTGGGGCCCAAGAGCCAAGTGTGCTTGCTAGCCTTTTCCAGAGAATGTGAGGCGGTTTTGACGCATCTGTGCCCTTGAGAAGCTTCTAGATCAGTGATGCCCAAAGTGGACGACACTTTCTCCTAGGGGGCACTGGAGGGAGGAGAGGGGAATGCTGAAGAAGAGAAGAAAAATTAGGAAAATTGTTGTTGTTTCAGCTGTTTTTCTGAAAAGGGGGGGTGGTAGGCCAACTAAATTAGAGACCTCTGTTCTAGACTCATGTAGAGGCCAGGCTAAGCAGGAGTTACAGTACCAATCATAATTGCTTTCATTTGAGAACTTTGTTCTAGGCCAGGTTCTGTGACTTGCTAACATCAATTCATTGCTCCCCATAATAATAACCCTATGGATTAAGTATTATTTCCCTGCAGTACAAATAAGGAAACAGGCTCAGACAGCGGCTTATGAATGAGAGAGCTAGCATCTAATGTCAGGGTTGTGTGCTACCAAGCATGTGACTCTGCTTTGTGGAGTGTTTCAGCCTGGAGCTCATGGAAGAAGTGGCACTTGAGGTGGCTAGAGTTGGGGAGCACAGGGCATCTTTGGGAAGAGGGGGGAGGAGGTAGGTGAGTCTGATGAGGAGACCTGCCTGACTAGTGTTAGGGAGTTGAGAGGAATGCACCTGCACAGGTAACGTGGTCATCAGGCAGTGATTTGGACTCGAAGCCCTGGGTAGTCAGGATTCACTTATGTATGTTAGATTCATCTCCTTCTCTCTCTCTGGGTACCCACCCCTGCATCTCTGCACCCACCTCCTGTACCGAGGTCCTCCTGCTGGCCCATTTTTTGCTGAGCATTTGTAGTCAGTAGTTTTATCGTGTGGTCCTCACCTCAAAGATAATCAGCTTCCCTTTGAAGATGGCCATGAAGTGGCGTGGCTCCTTTCCCATGGTGACCCGAACCTGCACTGGGGTGCCATCAAACTGCCCATCGACCTCCACTGCCTGGTATGCTGAGGCTGCTAGCTCATCCTGGGAAGCGTGGCGGCCCTGCAGAGTGGTAGCGGGGAGTGGTGGGTCTCTCCACCTCCACCTTCGCCCAGGGCACGGAGGAACATCAGGCTCCCAACCCGAGAACCTGCTCCAGGCTTACCTGCCAGATGTATAAGATGTAGTTTGGCTTTCCGTTAACCTTGTATGTGTAGAGAATCAGATAGCAGTCTCCCCCGTAAAAGAAGCCGTACCACTGAGGCTCCACAGGGACCAGCTCTAGGTTTTCAATTCTCCAGACCTGGGTGCAGAGGAGGCCCAATTCCCCAGAAATGAGATAGCTCCCTGAAGTCACATGGACCCAGCATAACAGAGAATCCAGGTGGCCAGCCGCCAACATCCGCCTAAAGAAGCCCTCCTGCCTTGGGCTCTTCTTTCCTAGTGACAGGGCCTCAGCCACGTATTTGCATGATTTGAACCCCAAGAAGAAGTGGATTGTCTCCACAGCCCAGTCAGGAGCATCCTGTCAAGGCTCATTCTCTGCCCTCTGAGAGAGCATTTGAATATCCTCGCGCCAGGTGAGTTACCATAGCACATTTGGCTATTTGCCCCTCTGCTTCCTGAAGCACTGTGGGAGAGATGCAGACGTGGGAGCCTGCTGGAGACAACAACCAGTTGCCGGAGCGGAAAAGGGAAGCAAAGCCTTCAGAACCCCCTGCCACCGCCTCTCCAGCAAGAAGCACTGAGGGTGCTGGTGCCAGCTGCCTGCCCGACGATGGGACGATGGGACGCCCTGGGCTTACCTCGACTTCCCCATTGCCATCATCAACCATTCTTTCCTGGGCAGCTGCCTCGGGCTTGTTGTGCAGTGCAGTCACATCAAACTTGTCTTGGATGACTTTAGCTGCAGGGAAGGGGTTGGGAAAAGCCACGTGAATAAGATGCAGCAGCCATGCCTGCTGCTGTAGAGATTCCTGGCAGTGAGGGTGATGGGGCTCACCAATCTTCCCAATGCTGAATGTTTTCCCTAGGCCTGTGGTCTGGTCCTTCACTGCCCACTTCTGGAAGAGCTGCTTGAACATGGCGGATTCGGCACCGTCGTTGACCGTCTCTATGTTGGTGCTGCTGGGGTAGCCCTTCATCTTGATGAAGCTCTGCACACACCCCGGTCCCGAGAGCCGGGTTAGTTGAAGAATGGACTGGGCTGCTTCCTTGCTTGAGGAGCCCCCCATTTGAAGCCTTTTGACAGGCGCATTCCCCTGTGGAACTTGGTCAAATTCTGTATTACTGCTGCCTAGGGACTGAGTGAATCTCCCTCAAGGAATGAACTGGATGGGGTGTCTTGACATCTCTTCAATAGTAAGCCTCGATTGTGGTGGCAATTAACTTTTTGGGAGATCAGCTGCCCTGTCTTCTCTATTTTCCATCACATTCCTTTGTTCATTGCCCTGTAAGTGCACCTCCGTTGGCCTGCCTGCATGGGTCTTCCTGTATCATAGAGCCCTGAGGACAGGGCTGTTCACCTTGATCGTGATAACTTCCTCTATAACACCCACTACCTCTTCTCCAGCAAGTGCGGTGTCCCAGGCCCTGTCCCGAGCGATTTATGAGCGTTGTTTAATCTCACCACAGCCTCGGGAGGGGGAGGTGACCGCCTCCACAACACAGAGAAACTGAGACTCGGGTGTTAAGTAGTCTTCCTAAGATCACCCATTTGGAAGAGGCAAATTTGAACCTAGATATGAATCTGTTTGTCTGTTTGAAGAGCTGTGGTGGGACTGTCGGGTAAGCATTAGGCTGCTAATTGCAAGGTCAGTAGTTCAAACCCACCAACCATTCCTTGGGAGAAAAAGGAGGCTATTTGCTCGTGTAAAGATTTCCAGCCTTGGAAATCCTCTATAGCAGTGTTCTCAACCTTCCTAATGCTGTGACCTGTTAATACAGTTCCTCATGTTGTGATGACCACCACCCCCTACCATAAAATTATTTTTGTTGCTACTTCATCACTGTAATTTTGCTACTGTTATGATTTGGGCGACCCTGTAAAAGGGTTGCTTGACACCCCCCCAAGGGGTCGCGACCCACAGGTTAAGAACCGCTGCTCTATAGGGTCTTTATGAGTTGGGATCCACTCAATGACACAGATTTTTTGGTCTGCCTGATTTGGAAGTAAGTCCATGGCTCTCCGAACTCGCATGACGTGTGACCAATGGACTCGTGTGGACAAAAAGCACATCTGTAGTTCGTACCAGGGCTTTAGACATGGCCATCTGTTTCTCAACCTTGCTGGCTCCTTTTCCTTTCCACACGTAGATCTTGGTTCCACTTTGGTCCAGGATATAGCAGTCCTAGAGAGTCAGGGGCAAATATGGTTATTGCTGCTCAAGGCCATAAAGAAGGTCTTCCCACAGGCTCCACCACTGAAGCCAAGCCTGGCCACACCCCAAACTCAGCCCACCCAAGCGCTACTTACATCATGGCTCAGTAAGTCTTGGACCAGAGGCTTTGTGGCGACTTCTGTGACCGCCAGCTGCCCATCTGCATCTGAGACACTGGAGAAGGGATGAAATTAGCCTGTGCTACAACTCATTTCAGTGAGTGTGTGTGTGATTGTGGTTGTGTAGAGATCTGGGTCGAGTTAGGCTTCTTACAACAGGAATGGTATGAATTACAGGTGGGAATGTGACTGACTTGATGCTCTGCGGTGACTGCACTTTCTCTCCCACAAACATTCTTCTTTCCTTAATCCCGAGCGTGTGAAGACCAGTGTAAAGGAAGGCTCTCCCCAAGAGGCCAGGAAAGGTTGCTAACAAGAGTGGAAGGTAGCTGCCTCCTTGAGTGAGGGAACACCCAGGCCCTTCTAGGAGCGGCATTTGAAAAGAACTTAGCAGAAAGCCAGATGGTTGCACCCAAAAGGCGGAGCCAAGCAGGGGCTCCTGGTTTCCTAGGGGTCATCTTCCCCCACCTCAGCTTCCACTCAGCATCCAGGTTTCTCTACTCACTGGTACAGCATGATGTTTGATTTCTGCTGCTGATCTATGATCTCATCGGCGATTGCAGGCTTGATGATGGAGCGTCTGCCAAGGGTGTCCTGAAGGACCTTCAGCAGCTCCGGGCTGGCCGCCTCCCTGTCTCCCTCGATCACTCCTATTTCAGCACGGCCCCCTCGCTCCCTGTCTCGAATGTCTTTTGCCAGAAGCATAGCCTGCCAAAAGAGCCCAAGGAAGCACTCAGCTCCGCTAGCCCCCATTGTGTCTGATGGCTTTGGAAGGAGCAGCCTGGACCCCAGACACAGGAGTTCCTCTGATGCTGAGAGCCAGTGGTGGAGGGTCCTAGGCTCACAGACCTGGCCTGTCTTCAAGACAGTACACAGATAGGGTCTAGAAAGGGTCCTGGGGAAGAGCCAGCAGGGACAGAGGAAGGAAGGGCATCATGGAAGATGACTAACCAAGGGAGGGGGGAGAGGCCCTGAGAGGAGACATGGCTTTACCTTCAGGCGCTCCCCACTGTTGCTCTCTGGGCCATTCCATTGGATGATGGCCTTTCCAAGGTCCAACAAGAAGACATCCCCCTGGTTGAAACTGTCCCAGCTCATTTCCACCTGCCGATGAGAGCCGGGTGTGGGTCGGGAGGGCTTCTTGGGTGCTAGATGGGGAGGCCCTGGACCAGCACTTACCTCAGTGGCCCTGATGTTTCTCTTCCCCTTCACATGGAGTAGCCGCTTGACCGCGTAGGTGTTGGTTTCCACATGCTTCATCCCGGTGGCCACACCCCCCTTCTTGTAGCTGAGGGGACATCCAATCAGTGATTTATTGAGCCCCTGAGCTGTACTAGGTCCTGAGGAGACTGTGCGGCCTCTGCCCGTGTGGGACAAGGACAGTACATAAGCCAGGTGTTCCTACTGTCACAGATGTGGCCTTGGTGACATGGTGGATTTGGTGACTGATTTCAGGGAAGGCTCTGAAGCAGGTGCGAGGAAGCGTGCCCTGGGCAGAGGGGCCCCAGTGACAAAGACCTGGGGCATGAAAGTGCTTGTTTTGCTCCAGGAACCATCTGAATATTGGGAGAGGGGCCTGAGGGGGCAGCAGCAATAGCAGCACCAATGACCCTACAGCTCCACGGCCACTCTGCTGGGAATCACTGTCTGATTAACCAGACCCTGCTCTCCTGTTGGTACACTGCATTAAGCACTGGGTTGGTGGCTCCATTTGGCCAGAGACAGACCTGGCAATCCACTTTCATAAGGACTAGTAGCTTTGGAAACCCCTCGGGCAGTTCCGCTCTGTGCTGCAGGGTCACTGTGAGTCACACTGCAATACCTGGCAGGGGTTTGGAGCTCCAGTCTCTGGCATTTAGCCCCACCCAGCTCCACATCAGGTGAATGCAGAAAGTCGTGCTGATGCCAAGGGCCTTTGACTTAGGGTTCTGTTGGGAGGGGCTCTGTGCCCAGCAGGACCTCAGGTAAAGGGCCTGGAATGTCTTTGTCCCTCTGCCTGTTTTGTCTTTAATCTGAAGTGCAAAACTGTGAATTGACTAAACTCCTCAGTTTCAGACACATTACAAAAGCCTGCCCTTGTTCTGCGTAGCTTCTCCCTAACTAGATCACCACCCCAACATGTGTAGTCTCTCGAGCTGCTTCCATCTGGTAGAGTGGATCCTCTGTTGTCTTGTTTGCATGTACCTCTTTAATGAGCAAATGGCCCTTCTGTTACCTGCCTGCTTCTTTCTTTCCTGTAAGATCCATGTGTATGCTGTGTGTATCTGAGCCGCTGCTTTGGGCTGTTGCATCTTGGCTCCGGTCAGCCATCCAGGGATGGGCTGTGCTGCCACCAGCCTTCATGACACTGCTAGGAGCACTCTGGTTTTGGGTGCTCTCATGGACCCTAGTGGGCATTCTGTTGATGTCTATACACAGAGGTGGCATTTGCCTAAGTGTTGTCCAGCCCACACTCCCCCCAGGGTGGCCCAGGGCACCTGCTTCCTCACAACCTCGTCAACTTGGGGTACCACCCGGCTCTCTAATGAGTGCTGCTCCAGTAGGCAGGAGTGAGAGCTTTGTTCCGATTTGCTTATCTGCTCTTTGGGTTTCCTCTGCAGTGCACCCACTCACATGATTCCCTGCTTGAAGTAGCCGCGGAAGGTGTCAGACTCATGGTCCTGGACCTCTCGGTGCTGCACGGGACTGCCTCCCAGGTAGTCATCCAGTTGGGTGGTGTAGATGGCTGCACAGCTTTGCTCGTCCTGAGAGGACTCCTTCCCGATCCAGTAGTGGATGTCTTGAGAGAGGAGACTTCCTGCCCTCCGGGTCTAGAAGGGGGCCACAGAGAGCAAGTCCAAAGGCCAGTAGTCCCACACCCTTCCCTTTGCTGCTGCTGGGGAAGGTGGCAGCACTGTCGTCCCAGACACCATGCAGTCCCATGACCTCTCATTCTCTGCAGCACCCTGGCCCAGGGGCAGCCCTGCTGTGGGGCTCAAGCACCGGTAGCACACACTCCTCCCCACATTTGGAGACAGTGGACAGCTTGTTCCCGAAATAATTGAGGCACAGCAGGGATTTTGCTGGCTTTATTCCCCTGAGCCTCAAGTCTTCACCTCCTCCAGCCTGTGCAGCCTGCCAGTGCCACTCAGGTAGGAAGCATTTCCTCCACTAGAGAGCGCTTCTGACTGGGCCCTCCTTACTGGCACGTCTCCCTGCAGCCCCTGCTGGTCTCAGGGGTGGGGCTGGGAGCTTAAGGGATGGCACTCACCGAGAGGATGACGTAGCAGTCCCCCTCATAGAAGTTGCCATGGGCATTCAGGGGCACCAGCGCCAGCTCCATGTTCTAGAGGGACAAGTGGTATGTACAGGCCATATCCTCTGGCCCACCCTCCCCCACAAGCCTCCCCTCCTCCCCATCGTTTGGCACAAGCCATAGGGAGAGCTAAGTGCACCATCCCTACTGGCCTTACAGGGTGTGGCGGTCACTTCCAGGGTCCATGTGGGCAGGTCTCTGGCTCCAGCTGAGCTCTGCCTGCATCACCCCAAGTCTGAACTGGGGTCCCATCCTGGCTTCCCCTCCCCCAAGCACTCCTCCTGCTTTCTGCAGGGTCTCATCTTGCTATCTCGGGCAGCCTTGTGAGCCATGGGCAGGCCTTTGCAGGGGGAAGAGTTGGATATGAAGTATCAGGTAAGCACACTGACTGAGCAGTTGCTTTCGTGCCTCCAGCTCCGTCCCCACGGGCCACTGCCGTGTGGCATTCCCAGAAAGCCAGCCAGGACTCCACAGGGCTGTGCTGGGCTCTGCCAAATGTCCCACATTTGGGGTCAGTTGGATTAGGGCCCTGATTTGTCACCTGTGTGTATGGCTTGTCCCCGGAAGGCCACTCAGAATCCCATCACCATTTCCAGGTGAGGAAACCTGCAGCTGTCTGAGTGTGTATGATCTTCGAGGGGGCTTCATAGAGAGTTCCTGGAAAAATACCTTCATCTTTTAATTCCATTTTCCCACACACTTTTTGAAGCCCCTTCTTATGAAATGAGTGTGAAATGTAGGAATATAAAGGCCACACTTTATGTCTGTTGTTTAACTTTCTCATAATTGGGAGCCTTAGAATATGCATGTACCTGGACTCTCTAAGCTCTGAATGTCTCGCTAGGGAGCTGCAACTCCTTCTAACAGAGAAGCCAAGGGTCACCCTGGGGTTTTGTGCAACAGCAACTGATTGGGCTTGCGGTACAGGCACATCTGGCAGGGGGTGCTGCTCTCTGTTCAGGGTGGTCCCCAGCTACAGATCACTGGAGCTCAGGGAACGGAGAACATGCTCTATCTGAGTAGCCCCCCACCCCCAACTTCACAAGAACCAGCAAGCCCGTGGCGAACATGTTCTATTTCCCAGATCAAAGCAGCTGGGTGCCTGTCGGGTGGACCCACCCATCTCCTGGGACAGTCACTGGAAGTGCAGACTCACTGAGCAGATGGCTAGATAAAGGGTGTGCTCATTCAGCTTGGCACCCTGCTCCGCTGGATTGGGACCTGCCACCCCACTTGCCTGTAACACCCAGGCCTAGCAAAGGATGGGAGGCCTTGCACTTTGATGCTGCCTCTGAGAGCAGCCTGAGGAGTGCTGAAGGTGGCCACCTGCCGATCTGCGTGCTGGGTGCTGCCCTTCCCGCTCACCTCTATCCTCCAGGTGATGATCCCAGGGTCATTGCCCACAGCCCGGAAGGCACTGCTCAGAGACATGGTGCTCGGGGTCCCAGGACTGAAACATCACAGAGCAAGAGGGGAGATGATGCCTTTCATGGCTTGCAGACATCTAACCTCCTCCGAGTCACTTCCCATCCTCTCCTCAGTGGCTGGGCTGGGTCTTCTCGGCACACCCTGCACTGCCTGACATGTGATGGGGCTATGACTTGTCCAAGTTAACTGCAAGCCTGTGAGCCCGGTGGGCACCTGGTGCCTCCCTAGAAGTTCTACCTCCCATCTGCTGCTTCCCTGGTGATGAGCTCGGGTACTGGCCTCCATGCTCCCGGTGACGGTGATGAACAGCTTTCTAGGTGAGTGTATTCTCTTCATTGTACACTGTATTGTTAATGCTTGTGCCCTAGGTCACACACTAGAGGGAGTTCAGATCCGACTCTGCAACCTGTGCTGGCAGAGACTTGCTAAGCTTCGCTAACTTCCGTGGCACATGGGGGTGAGGGGACCCAGTTGCCTTTGCGCATCCTCTCATTGCCCCTGCCTGCAGAGCCTCCCCACAACCAACCTTCCAGTCTCCCCTTTGGACTTAGACTTTCTACGCTTCTCAGACTAAACTATCCTAAATCGCAAATAATGCTTTCTCCTTGTCATATGACTAATCTGTTCCCTGTGCCTTGTAGAAAGAGGGACAATGGCAGGGTTGGGTGGGGAAGAAGGGTCAGGGTGCTAGCCAAGGAAGGAGGGTGTGCCTGGTCTGGCCTGTGGGCAGATTCCTCCCTCCCTCCTACGTGCAGACTGAGAGAGCTGGGCTCTGGCCTTGGCAGATTCTCTATGCAAGAGTCACCTTAGAGGACTTGGGGGGGTGGGGGCGGGGGCGGGCTTCTAAGTTCCTTTGGGGAGAAAACGCTGTGTGTGTAGTTTGGGTCAGACATCTACACACATTCATGGTCACGTTAGGTCAGTTTATGACCAGAACACCCATTCCTGCCTGCTCTCAGGGAGTTTGCAATCTGACGAGCATACACAGGAGATGAATGCTAGTTTAGTTTCTCCCAAGAGGCAAGAGAGAGGGCAGGGCTGAAGAGCCTCCAGTGCACCTGGGCCACGAAGCCTCTGGGCAAGGGCTGGGTGGGTGTATGCAATCTGGAGGCAGATTGTGCCTGTGAGGGGGGCATGGCTGACCATTCCTTCCTTGAGCCTCAGTGGGCGAAGCCAGGTTTGGATAATTCAGTGATTATCTAATACAGACTTTGTAAACACACACAACTCCCAAACAAAAACCAACTTCCTTTGTCTACAGCTGCAGTTAAAGCAAAGCAGTGATGCGGAGCAGCCAGTGTTTGAGGCTCTAATTTGATAACTTGCACGGCCCCACCCTTTGCTGCTCAAAAATTACCAGGAAACATTTGATTAGGGTTTTTCAGAGCTTGCTTAGATTTTGGTCATTGAAGGCAAGTGGCATGACCCACCTACTAGGGAAGGGACAAAGGCTAGTGAAATCCTGTCGGAGATGGGGAAGTGTCCACCTGACAAAAGCCAAAGCAAAGGGGAATAAGGAATCTGGGCTGGATCAGGTTTCCCGAATGCAGCAGACTCTGCTGGATGAACAGCCCACAGCAGGAGTCTGACTGTGGTTCCAAATCCCCATAGCTGGGTTCCTCCCTCCTCCCCAAGCCCTACTTTATTAATGCAAGGGCTACAGAGTCTGAGGGTGGGTGGGCTGTTCTTTGGAAATCCCAGGTTGTATTATGGAGGTTCCTAGTTCTTACAAAATACTCAGATAAGTGAATCCTAAGTAGAGGAAGCTGGTTTTAATTTCTGCTGCCTGCTCTCCACCATCTTCCTCAGAGAGAATGTCAACCTTTTGAAAATAAGCCCTTTCTGCTCAGTGGTCCATGAAAAAGGGTCTCTGGATTTTTCAGCTACAAGTTGGCAAAACTATTCACAAGCTCCTGATGTTCTTTCAAAGCCACATCCCTAAAGACAAAGCCATTCCAATCTCATCCTTTCAGGTCTTCCTCAGGCAGTGGGATTGCTCTACTCACGCACCCATATATCAGACAGCACTTACCTTGCCTTCTTTTCCGCCTGTCGATCCTTGTTTTCTGGTGAGCAAGCAGCAGGGAACTGAAGAACCACCACCCCAAAACTCCAAAGTGGGAGGTGCCTGGCCTGCTGCAGGCACTGGGTTATATTTGCTTGTGTTTGCATCTTAACCGCATTTTCCTAGTCCTGGCCAATCACAGCCAACCTAGCCTTGGGCTTGACTTATTCAAACCAGAGGGAAAGCTTTATCTGTCCCTATTCAAAACAAGAAGAGCAGACTTTTAAAGGCTTCTTTTCTCTTTAACTCCAGTTCCCCGCCCTGTTCTAATTGATTTTTTTAAAGTGCACAGGCTATCAATAATGCAGGGAAGGGAGGACCTGAAATTTGCCATATTGTAGATCTAGATACATCATGAGGACAGGAGAGGCAGGGGCTGGAGCTATCTTCTCAGCACACCCTGCATGTTCCCCAGGAAGCTTTGAGGTGTTTCTCAGAGGAGGGGAGTTGAGGGGCCAGGGCCAGGAGAATGCTACGGGGTATCCAGTTTTGCTCTTTGGGGCTACCCTGAGTCCAGCTCAGTGTTGAGGTAACAGAACTCTGCAGGTGGCCTTGTTGGGCTCCTGGGCTGGGGCGTCAGTGAAGGGCACAGAACTGAGACTCTTGGAGCTCCTTCCTGGTTCACCCCCAGAAGTGCACAAGGACCGAGTCCATGCTTGTTAGACACCTTGGGTGGCACAGGAGCTGGTTCTGCATGGGGCTGGGGAAGGGTGATGGAGAGACTCCTGGTAACCTTGAAGGGTAAGTCGCCCAGTGCCCAGTCAGCCAGCAGCAGCAGCTTGCTCAGCCTGGGGGCTCCTCTGTCATTATCACCAAAGGGCTGTGAGGGGAGGAGGGCAGCACTCCTATGAATGACAGTAGGGTCCAGAAGCAGTGCCCATTCCTGGGTAAGAGGTTTTCGAACCCGCTTTATTAACTGTAAGTAATACAAATATTCCAAAAAATATAAACAGACACTTAATGGCGTCCTACATTTCAAGTTTTTGAATACAACAAATTTATCAAACCGTGAATCTGTAACCAAGGTAGTCTGAATCCCATACCCAATCACGGTGGGAAGCAGATCCCTACCCTCCAAATGGCACCCTGACAGAAAGCGTGAGATGGGTGGGGTCAGAGAAGCCTGGGGCCAGAGCAGGGTCAGCTCCAGGGCAGGCAGCACAGCAATAATGGGGTCGGGGTAGCTGGCCAGCACCTCTGGCCGCCCCTCCCCTGGCTGATCATCCATATTGACCAATGTATTAAGTGTAAAGAAAGGCAGACTAAACTAAAACCCCATTTACTTTACAAAAGGTCAATGAGGGACACCAGTGCCAGCAACCAGTCTCACCTCCCCAGACTTGGCTTGGCTGGGGCCTGGGTAGCCTTCCAGGTGGGGTGGTCCCACCAGTGAGGGGGGAGGCGGCAGCAGAAAAGAATGGGGTTCCAGGAATGACTGCCTGGACACTTCCGAGCTTCAGCAGAAAGCAGCTACCGGGCCAGTTAACTAGAGGCCAGTTTGCACACTTACAAAATGGTCAAAATCTTTGGGAGGCAGGAGGGAGCGAAACAGAAGGTCTCATGCTAACAAGGCAAATTTCCGATCTGTTCATTAATTCCACACACACGTAAGACTCCAGGGCACCTCTGTGAGCCAGGGACCCAGGGGTCTAACCCAGTGTCCCCTCTACAATGTGCAGAGGGGGCACTCTTATCCAACCCTTTTCCAAACTGGTCCTGTGTTCAAAGCTCCCCCTATGAGAGGGACACGAACGTCAGGCTTTGACTTAGAAGCCCAATCAGAGAGACACCCTGTGTCCCTGAAGAGGCACCTTAAAGAACCAAACCTGGCAGGCAGGCAGGCAGGCAAATTCCGGGCATGGCTTGAATTGACACTGGCCAGGCACTGTGGCCCACTGCCTCCAGACCAGTCTCAACCGGGAAGGGCTTGTGGGAAGCTATAGAACAGATGCCCGGACGAAATGGCTCACTTCCCATCTTGCCCTCCTCCAAAATTGAGGCCCAATCCTCCGAGGAGCTAGCTTTGCATCCATCACTTGCCTCTAATCTAACACAGTGTGTGTAAAACAGGAAGCTGGTCAGCAAGTAATGACTTTAGGCTGGCTCTGGTCCACCCGAGGGACCCTTGTTAGGCTTTTTTGGGCCAAGTTACTTCTCCAGGGGAGAGAGGAGATGGGGGTGTGGGGTGACATTTCTGGTGAGGCACGGCAGGCAGGGCTGACGAAGCAGGCTTCATGCACAAGCAGCAGGGGCAGTCTCACCAAGCCGTCCTGGGCTCTGGTCCTGGCACACTCTGGACACCTGGGCCTGGAGGTGTTTGTTTGTTT